ATAACATATCTACACACACACACACAAAGTGATGTTGGCTACAATACAACTACCTCTTGAAATAGTACCAGGCCCACCAACAGGGCAGGGAGGCTGAGAAAATTTCCCCGAGGAAAATGATTGAGAAACACACCCTCATACAAACCTTCACCTGGTGTCCATGAAACCTCCTGGCAACCCTAGATAATACATACTACTTTTGAATAATACCAGAGAGTAACACTCAAGACTATAATATGCAAAACATATCAAATGCTTCTCTCTCTCTTTTAGTTTAGAAAGATGAAAATTTTTTGTTTACTTTTTTTTTCTAAATATTTTGCACTTAAATGCATTGGCATAGTGTTAATGTATATTATACAAATAACTGGCTTTGAACTGGATGACTTTATTCTTGTGTTACTAATATATTTTTAAGGGTCTTTTCTTTTTGATATTTCTAGATCTTTCCAGGAAAGATGTCACTATAGAATTCATTTAGGCTTTTACTAATAGGTCCCCTAGTCTTATCAGTCATGTAAAGGTTTATAAATAATTGAATATTCTATCTTCCCTATTTTTTTTTAATGAATGTGACCAGGTACTATGGTTTACAAGTACACTCTGCAAAGTTTGGGCCTATCCAAATAAATATATACTGATTGATTCTTTCAATCTTGACTAGATTCAGCCTCTTGATCTCATTTAAAGTTCTCCCTACTTCAGAGAAAGAAGTGTAGCAATCAAATTTATCTGTGTTTTGTTTTAATAAAGAATTTTGTTTTATCAACTAAATTTTGTTGTCTAGTATCTTGTCAGAATGGTTAATATCCTTACCTACTGGAAATCAGTGTACCTGAGAATACCACATATTCAATACATTTTCTGCCCAGCCTTTTGTTAGAATAGGTACTATTATGGTATATAAACATACTGTGAGTTTTCTACCTTATTACATTTATGTACTATTATTCTAAAATTTATCAGTTATTCTATGTACATGCAATTTTCACATAACATATGGTAAAGAATGCCATTAGGTTGATTTTGCTCTAGCTGACTTTGTTCCTTTGTTACTCTATTGAGGTCACACCTGATCTGCCTATGGATGGTGAGGCTGTAATGATTCATGTTGCACAAGAATGTAGACAGCAGTGTCTTTCAACAGTAGACCAGGTGGTATTTCAATGTTATGGCCTCCTCTGTGACTGAATGAGAATGACCAAATATTGTTCACTTATTATTCCTTCTGTCATTTAGTTTATCTATGAATTTTAAGTTACACTTAAAACACCTAACTCATCTTCTAGATAATAACATTTATTTTGAGTAAATATGCATTTATTATGAGACTCGTATTAGTTTCCTCTAGTGGTGATGTACAGATATCATTAATGTTACACAAGAGTATGTAAATTATGTACGTATATTTTGTACAGGATTATGTAAATTATGATCACATGATTTGTAATCTCATGATCTAACAAGTGAATAAAAATCCTACATTGCGATGTAACAAGTTAGTTCACGAAATATAGCTGAACATTGTTATTGCTAACTATTACTCAATCTTGTTAGTAATTTTGTAGTTTAAATATGGAATACTGTTATTTTGGAATTAGGTTTTTTATTTGTCCATTTCTTTTTTTTCCAGATTTCTTTATTTCTTCCTTGAAATACCTATTAACCTAGATTTTTATATTGTATTGTTCATTAATGGTAGTTTCAAGTCCTTTACCATGTTTTGGCAAGTTATCAACTTTGTATATCAATAGCTTGAAAGTCACACTTTAGATTTTTGTGGCTGTCAATGTATAATAAATGTGTGTTTTTTTGGTTAAACTCTGGTCATAGAAGCGAGTAACTTTAGACCATTAATGGGTAATGGTATTGCTGTGGATAAATCCAACATTACCTGTGAAATGAAGAACATGAATTTAAACAGTCTTGTAGATGATCTTGAGCTAGTCAGTTTTAGAGGAAGATAATAGCTTTATCCAGTAAAAGAGACATTCCATCATCTAAGTAGTACATACACTGTGTTTGTGTGTTCTGCTGTAATAAAGATAGTGTTTTTTCATATTTTACCCAATCTATTTCATTCTCATGAACTCAAGTATTCAGAGAAATTCAGTATTACTACATAATAGATATCTTGTCAGGTCTGTTATTCAGTGGGCCTATTCTATTGCTCTCGAAATGATCAGTTTTACCTGAATATATCACAGTGTTTTTATCTGTCAAAAACCAATGTAACTGAGAATACCAGAATACCACAGAGCTAATTTACACTTGACTTAGGATTTACAAGTTTCTGAGCTAAGCCTCTAAGGATAATGTGAATATTTGTTATTAAATATAAGTACAAATCATAAGATGGTCCTTCATATGAAAAATGCAGCTTGATCTCAAAGACAGTTCAAAATCTATTTCAAATTTTTTTGTTACAGGACTTCTTATTCAAGAACTTTTTAGGCTTAAATATCTTTTGGTATTGAAATTTGGTATGCCCTCAATCTTTCCTAACTAAACTGTTTTCTAATTTTTATCTTTAATTGAAAAATATTTTCATTTAATACTGATTTTCAAGTAGCCTTACTTTGAATGTGGTTTTATTTATTTTCTCCTAATTAACATCAGTGTCTCTACCATTGTCTTTAAATTAAAGCATCCTTAGCCAATTTAACAAATATATATATTTTTATTTTAGTGAAAACAGTAACATTTTGATCAGAAGTACAACAATATGTTAATTTTAATCAAGAAGCAATTTTTACCCATGCATGCTTAATTTGTTTTCTTTTCCTTCAAAGGATAGAGCTGATATTGACAAAGTGAACTAAAATATAATATCTGTAACAGGCAAACATTTTAATATTTGACACATGGAACTAATGTACTTGAAAATTAAATCTGGATGAGTGAAATCTATTTTCTATTTTAGTCAAATGTGATATTCAAAAGATAAACTAGATTGTGTGATTTCACCATCACATTTATAGCACACCCTCGAACCCTAAGTGCAGAGCATGTTTTTGCTGCAACTGGTCATATGTCAAAAGAAATACTATGATAAGATAATGAAGGAATGAATGTATTAGCATGGAGATTTAATTTATCTTTGGGTATGTTCCAGCAGCATAGAAGCAGCTCCAGTAGAGCTGGAATGGGTCTTATCTTGCACTCCAACAAGTTGGTACACTGACATACGAGTTAGTGAAGTCAAGAGGCACGTGAAAGCACCTAGTCTATGCTGACCAGCTGCATCCATATGTTACTGATGTAATAAAGATTGTTCCTCGTATTTCTTTACATTTATGTCCAGTCTCCTTATTCTTGCAAACTCAGAGAATTCAAAACTTTCTCCTTCCTATCCCTTCTGTGGTATTTTCATATCAAACAGATTTCTTTCAGAGCTACAACATAAGCCTACAGAATAACAGAGAATCATGCATTATACGAGTCTAATTAAATTTATGAGAAAGAATAGACTGGACAGAAATTTACAGAAATACAAGGAACAATCTTTATTAAATACAAACACAGTGTATGTTGTTTCAACACAAAGAGAAACCACCTTTATTGGAAAAATTGGTACCTGTTAGTTTTTCCCAAGTTGAAGTTTTTGGCTCTGAATAGCTTCTATAAAAAGAAACTCTTCCAGTATGAGAAGACCTCACATTACATAGCTTAAAATCTACAGCATCATCATACCTTTCATAAAGAAATAGTGACTTGTCAATCCCATTTGAAAATAAGGAAGGTTGTAGCCTTGTGACATCACTCGACCTACCATTCTATACACTTTCCTACACAAGGTGCAACTTTACAGCTATTTCCTCCCAAGCACAGACCAGGTGGTTATCTCACAGAACAACTTACTTTTGTGAACATGTATGAAATACTTATTTATACATGTATAGACATGTTACTGCACCACACTTATACAATAGTGACTTGTTTGTATGAACATGGTACTGTCCCATACATGGATGAATCATCAATATGAAAATTTAAATGTTCTATATACCTTACTTCAATGATTCAGTTGTGTAGATGAGATCGAATTCCATCTTCTAGCCATTATCCTAAAATATATTTTAATGAGTGCATCAAAATATTTGAGTCTATTTTTCAGGTCATGTATTCTTCCTCAATTTTCTGCTAAATTAACAAATATTCATTATAAAACTTAGTCAAAAGCACCACTACCAACTCTTGGGCTACTTTTGTCTGACTGAACAGTAGGATTGGACCATCATCCTTATAATGCACCCACAGCCCTAAAGTGCAATGAGAATGATGGTCCTGCAGATAAGTCCATCACATTAACCACTGGGCCACACTCGGCCATTTTTTTATCTAAGGAAATAAAAGTAGTTTAAAATTGTAAAAAAATTTGTTATTTCAGTTTCTTTCTACAATAAGCTCAGTGAAATGATGAACAAACAATCCACTGAAAAAAGCATTACTTTTAAAACAAGCTTTTATTAAGAAGAAAATAAGGAAAAGAAATAAGCAAGTTTTTGAGTTAACAATGAACAAATCAGTCATGTGAAGACTATAGACAAACATAGGATGTAAAAGGAAAATGCTTACTTTGATACGTCGCTCTAGTCCTGGATCAGCTGACTTACTCCGAAATGATCCTTTGGTGATCCTTTCTACGGGCTGCAAAACAAGGAAAAATTGATATGATAGTGTAAGTTAAAGCTTATAATGCCACAGTATTGGCTACTGCTATATTACTTTTAAATTACTATAGACTTTGATATATAAATAATGACAACATGAGTTTTAGCCACCTGCAAGATGATTAACATGTTTATTAAAGTACTATATAGGAAATGAAATGAACTAATTTGTGAAATATCTTGAAGATATATGTTCAAACTCTAGAAGATAACACTAGTTGATGTATAGGTAGAATAGACAATATGCCAAGATGTTTTACACAAACCTTATTCAAAAAAACAACAACAACTCAATTTGAATAAGATCTGCAAACAAGGTCAATATTTCTAAAATATCTAAAACACTAATATATAAATTTTTAGAACATAAAATTATACTATTTATATCAGTGAGTAACTGTAAAACAGGTTCCTTTACATTTTCCAACAGAAACTGTCATATAGTAATGCTAATTGCACTTAAGTTTCTTATAGTTTGCAAGTTATTTCTCTAGCTGTTAGCAGTATCCACATGAGCCCACATGAGGACACCTACTGTCTTATGAGAATTGCTGGGTGAATTATTTTCACAATAAAACCAACCTTGTGGAGGAAGGTAGGCTATGATTATATCTAGAAACACATTCCTAACAGAATTCAATCTTAATTGTACAATGCAAGTTTCAAAAACAGTGGCTCTGGTTCCATATAGAAAATTAATTGAAACCTACACAATATGCAATTAGATCAAAACCTGAGAGCAAGATCAGGACTGCATATGAGCAGCTACAGAGAGATCTGTGAGAAAGATCAAGACAGCATATGAACAATTAAAAGAAGAACTGGGTACCAGGTCAAAACAGCACATGTGCATTTGTTTGCATTTCCCAGGTTTGATTTATAAGCTATAGAATATGTGATGCTATTTCAAACTCTGAAAGAGGAACTATGAGACGCACTATGTAAAAATAAAAGAGTGTGACTGAAGTCCAAAAGATCCACATACCAGCATGTAATGTACCTATCAAAAAGAAGAAGCAGGATATACAGAGAAAGGTATTGTCTGGTGTCAGAAATAAAATGGAGGCAGTCATGAGAGGTCTTTCTAACACTTTCTCTAGCTTTTAAGGCTTAGCACAAAAGGAAGAAAAGACAAAAAATGGGAAAAAAGTAAACCACCCTTAAAAAAGTGTTATGCACTGACATCATACAGATTAAAATATTAGATGACCAGATCAAAAAGCAACACAAAATGGCTCTCAAGAAAAAGAGCCAAAAGTACAAAACAGAATAACTCACCAACATCAAATCACAAGAGAAATTTTAACTGAAATTCAAGAAAAGAAATGAAGTAGAAAAGGATCAAAGAAGCCAGAATGTGACAATTGTAATAACAGCCCATAAGCTCATGATTTTCAAGGCCAAGGACCAAAAGGTATGAATCAAAGTGAGAGAACTCAAGCAAAATATAAAACCACAACTTTTGAACATTGAAATGGACAACATTTAATTTAAGACTCCAAAAGCAAACTAGACAATACAAAAGGAAACCTGCAACTTTAGAACAACAGTAAATATCAGGAAAAACAAGAACCTTGATGAAAAGTTTCATAGAAACAGTAAAACCTGAGCTGATCACCAAGGAGCAAATAACAAAAATGCTATAAAAATTGGTTTCTATCTTCATTAACTCTTTGACAAGTTTGATGCTACAGTGTCAAAAACAAATTGTTGATGGTTCTCTGGAATAAAAAAGCTGGTGTTGCATCCAAAGTCTGCACCATTGTTCCAAAAATGTACATCTACAATAACAAATATGAAGTTAAAATAAGAATACAGGAAAAAACAAACATACCAATCTTGACTGAGAATGTCCACTTCCATTGTTAACAGATTCATAAATCAGTCCAAAGTTGGACAGCTTGTGATTGAGACCCATGGGATAGCATCAAATACTTATCAATCCAGGTGATGTCAAAGCCATTCAAAAAATGTGGCACATTAGAAGCCTGTTGACTAAACCTAAGTAAACAATAACATAAACAGGCCTAGAAAACAACAGTTAAGATTCTGGTACTAATAACCCAGTAATATGCATGTTGCAAACTACAGCAAATCTCTAATTACAGTCTCAGAATGGCAACAATACAGTCTCAAGAACGGAGAACAAGTTCTTTTGAATGAAACATTCTGATAATATTTTAATGAAACTGTGTCTATACAGAGCAATAGATTTGAGACAAGTACAGGAAGAGAAATAGGTGGAAAAACCAAAGTAATGTAAGGCTTATAGGGCTACCAACACAAAGTGGAAGACAGGAAAACTTTGTTCTCTAATAGAATCCTGAACACAATACACAAGCTGAGAAAGATCACAGCAGAGAAAGTACAAGAACATAATCAACAAAGATGAAGGTTCTTAATGAAGTCTTGATTGGCACCCCCAAAGAGAAATAATATGGAGAACAGAAAATATGCAGGTCAATTATCAAGAAAACCTGCAATTCAAAATAAAGGAAACATTTATATCTGTACAAATATTGATAATGATGTCCAAAAATATAAAAAACAGATATAAGGAAATATAGAATAAAAATTACAATCAGACAGTTTGCAAAAATCAAATGGACCTATTTTACATGTCATCTTGGAAAAGTATACTTCTAAATGTAAGAATTAATCAGTTGCTCAGTCAAAGATTCAGAAAATAATGTCCTAAAGGACCTGCTTTGATATTTCTTCCCACAAGACAGTGAGTGGAAAGATTTTCAAAGTTTTTCATATTAAAATACAATAAAATCAAGAAGTTCAAAAAAAGCAAATTAATGAACATCAGTCTTGTATATATTTTAATACATTAGAAAACAAGCAAAAGGATTTATGTGAAAAGCAGTCTAAAACCATCCTGAAAGCCTCCTAAATCCACTATATAGTAGATTGAATCTGAGGGAGGTGATAAAGAACAAGGGTAAAGAGTGTATCAGAGAGGATCAAAATAACTCAAAGGTCTGAGAAAAAAAGTATATAACATTTGTATCATGTTTAAACTCCACTTGTAAAAATCACAAACCTGAAAGGGACTATACATGAGAATGTAATCAACAGAATATCTCAGGCTTAGATGATACTCAGAAGGAGTCCATGCAGCAGCCTAAACACTCTCAAACAAATGTCCTTCCACCTGAGAAGAACAAACACAGATACTGATCAGATACAGTACAAGACAATTTTCATGTAAATACAAAAAAAAAGCAAATGGAGAGCCCAAAGAACTGAAGCATCTGTGAAGGTCAAAAGAAAGTGGAAAATAGAAATATAGAAATACAATAAGGTCAGTGTAAATCAAATTCAAAAGAACTGAAGTCTTGAACCAATATTTTCAAAAAAAGTAGAAAGACCCTAAATAGAAAAAAAGAAAGTAACTATCAACTGAGTTTCCAAAATTAATAAAAATATGAAATCACAGAAAAAAGCTTATGGATGACTGTGAAGAAGTCAACATGACAAATGACTGACCAGAAAAAACTAGTTGCAATAGCTTGATATCAGAAGAGAGATAAAATGTCTCTCTACTGATTACTTAGTC